CCTTAAATCTCGTGATCTTTCCAGATATAGTGTAGTTTTGTATATATAAGACCAGCCACGAAGCGACGAGGAGGTAATGAGTAATTAAATGTATGCGGATAAAATAATGTTGGCTACGTGAGACGTGAGTTATAGTGTTGTTATAGAGCGACTGTTGAAATTAAGTGTATCGTAAAGTTGTATTCGGAAAATATAAACCAGTTTTATTTAAGAAAGGACTTGTGTCGCTAAAGTTTTGTCGGAACGAATTTACGGAAAATTAACTAACGAACAGAGACATAACAATATATTATCATGCACAATCATTTAAGCCTGGATTTTAATAAGTATGTAACAAAATGATAATAAAAGGTAACTCATAAAAATGTGAAAAAATTAATGAGGATTATAGCTGGACTATTTAGTTGATCAATCAATATAATTGATTACCTATGCACAGTTTAATTAGTGTTTCATAAACTAATCAATTAATCATAATTATGATTAACTGATTAATATCATGAAAATAACCAAGTAATTGAAATGAGTATTTCTGATGATACCATTTTCAATTATTGCAACAACTGATTAATCAAAATTATGATTACTTCGACTGTCACAAAAATAATCAATTAAAATTAGGTTTTACAATTATTTACTGTTTTTGATTATTCCAACTATCCAAGAATTGTCATTATGTTTGTTTGTTTTTAAGCATAAAAATATATAATGGGGGTGGGGAATGGCTATTGGTTTCAAACAGGGTTCGATGCCCATTGCAAAGCTACAAAGGCAACCTGCCATTGCCTTTCAACTGTTGACTAGTAGGCAGCACCCACTACAAACCCTCTTAAGTATTTAACAAAGTGTAAACTTACCTACTTTTTTCATTGTCTTATGCTTGTAACATATAGCTGTACTTTTTAATGTTGTGTAAACATATACAGATCTAGGAGATGGGTTCAGGCCCCCATCCACTTTTTCCACAGATTAAGAACTATATTCTTTATTTTTGTAGAAGCAGGCACAGACATAGGAGAAGGGGTAAATGGGGTCCAGACCTCTTATCATTTCTTCAGGAATTAATAATTGTATTCTTTCACGTTGTATAATCAGGTGGAGATTTGGGGAAGAAATCCAAATCCTTCTGCCTACTTTTCTCTGAAATTAGCAAATGAGTTTTTTAATATTGTATAAGTAGGCAAAAATCTAATAGGTCCAAACCTGTCCTTCATCTTTTCAGTAATTAATATAAAAACAGCCATACATCCTTACACTACCATATTGTCAGATTTAAAAAAAAGAAATTATATATATATATATATATATATTAGTTCTTCTTTTTGCCAATTGTCGAGATAAATGGCTTTTACTTATATTTCTTA